GTTTTGGTGTTTTGTGCTCTTTTTCTTTTTATAATTAGGAGCAATGTATTTACAGAGATGAGCCAAATTATTTTTGTAAAAAAAATTAAACCTATCCTTTAATTCCATTTTCTATGAACTTTTAAATGTACCCTCATAAATATACACCTTTAAAACTTATTTATTTGGGGGCCGGTGCTGAGGCACAGTGGATTAATGCCCTGGCCTGAGGTGCCTGCATCCCATGTGGGTGCTGGTTCTAGACCTGGCTGCTCTACTTCCAATCCGGCTCTCTGCTATGGCCTGGGAAAGCAGTGGGGGATGGCCCAAGTCTTTGGGCCCCTGTACTCACGTGGGAGACCCGGAGGAGACTCCTGGCTTTGGATCGGGGCAGCTCTAGCCATTGCGGCCAATTGGGGAGTGGACCATCGGATGGAAGACCTCTCTCTCTCTGCCTCTCCTCTCTGTGTAACTCTGACTTGCAAATAAATACATCTTAAAAAAATAAAATAAAATGTATTTATTTGGAGTGCAGTGGAGGATGGCCCAAGTACTTGGGCCCTGCATCCCATGGGAGACCAGGAGAAGCACCTGGCTCCTGCCTTCGGATAGGCGCGGTGCGCCGGCCGCAGCACGCCAGCTGCGGTGGCCATTGGAGGGTGAACCAACGGCAAAGGAAGAGCTTTCTCTCTGTCTCTCACTGTCCACTCTGCCTGTCAAAAAAAATTTTTTTTATTTATTTGGTATGTGGGGGGGAGTCCCACCTGGTGGTTCATGCCCAGGTATCTACAACGGCAGGCTGGGACTGCGCTACAGCCAAAGCCAAGAGCCAGGAATTCAATCTGATCTCCCTTGTGAGTAGCAGGTACCCAAGTCTTGAGCCATCACTGCCTCCTAAGGTCTGCAGTAGCAGGAAACTGGCATCAGGAGCCAACTGGGAATTGAACCCAAGCACTCTGATACCGGATGCAGGTATCTTAACTGCTTTTTTTGTTTAAAGATTTATTTATTTTATTTAAAAGGCAGAGAGAGAGAGAGAGAGAGAGAGTCTTCCATCTGCTAGTTCTCTCCCCAGATGACTGCATTGGCCAGGACTGGGCCAGGCTGAAGCTAGGTAGGCTGAAACTCCATCTGGGTCTCCTACGAGGGTGCAGGGGCCCAAGCACTTGGACCATCTTCCGCTGCCTTCCCAGGCCATCAGCAGGGAGCTGGATCGGAAGTGGAGCAGCCGGGAATTGAACCATTGCCCATGTGGGCTTGCCTGTGTGGCAGGTGGCAGCTTAGACCACTACACCACAATGCTGGCCCCAGGCGTCTTAACTTCTAGGCTGAACACCTGCATCTGGAACATTGTTCAGTGTACAACTTGATGAAGTTTTATACTCATATATATCTGTATACCCACATAACGACTGCATGAGGTCCCCGCTGAGCCCTCCGGAGATTCCCTCATGGCGATCCCCGGCCACTCTCTCGGCCTCCCTTCCCCAGGGTATCTGCTAGTGTGGCTCCTATCACCATTTACCACTTGTTCATGAACTTGGATCAGTGGTGTCCAGGATGTACTGCTCTGTGTCTGACACTTTTCTCTCCTGCAACAGCTGTGAGATTGATCCATTTCCTTGCATGGTCAGCCTTTGCTACTGCTGTGTTGTATTTCATGGTGCAGATATCCACAGTGTGTTTACTGATTCTGTTGTTGAATGACATTTGTGTTGTTTCCAATTTTTGGCTCTTATACAACACTGTTTCTTTGAACATTTTTGTTGTCCTCTGGTAGATAAACTCATTTCTCTTGGGCTGGAGGAGCTGTATCTATTTTCAATTTCTTAAAGTTACTGGGCATAACTCAGTTTGTTCAGTGCAGTAGGTTGGGTTTTGGTAGACTGTGGACATTCCTAAAATATGAATATATTAATTCTTAGGCTTAGAACACAAGTGTATGAATGGGTTAAATTTCTATGTTATAAAAATAATTTGCAATAAATCATGGTGATTAGTCTTCCTATAATTACAGCTCATTTGTACAGATGTCCCAGTTGCTGGAACTCAATGTGTTAGTCAGAGTTCACCTGCAAATGGCAGAAACCCAATTCAAGCTAACTTCCTTGAGAGAGAGAGAGTGTAAGTGCTCAAGTATCCAGTGTTTGCTGCCCTCCAGTACAGTTAGATCAGGTGCCTCCATGATGTCAGCAGCGTTTGGTCCTTCTTTATATCTACCTGTTGGCTCTGTTCTCCCTGGTGCCTTAGGCAAGCTTTCTCCACTGGTGACCAGTGGCAGTGTCCAGCCTAAATGTTCTAGCTCCAGCTGTAGCAGGGAGAAAGCCTCCCTCTTTCCTGTAGTTCTGATAAAATTCCCAGAGTTGACTTTCACTGGCTTTGACCGGGTTATGTGCCCTGAGCCAATCCCGTCGCCAGAGGGACACAATTCTGACTAGTCATATGGTTACACCTGGCCCACGGAGCTGAGGAAGGAATGTTACCTCAAAAAAGAGAAATGGGGCCGGTGCCTTGGCTCACTAGGCTAATCCTCCACCTGCGGCGCCAGCACACCGGGTTCTAGTCCTGGTCGGGGCGCCGGATTCTGTCCCGGTTGCCATTCTTCCAGGCCAGCTCTCTGCTGTGGCCCGGGAGTGCAGTGGAGGATGGCTCAGGTCCTTGGGCCCTGCACCCCATGGGAGACCAGGATAAGTACCTGGCTCCTGCCATCGGATCAGCGTGGTGTGCCGGCCACAGTGCACCGGCCGCGGCGGCCATTGGAGGGTGAACCAATGGCAAAGGAAGACCTTTCTCTCTGCCTCTCTCTCTCACTGTCCACTCTGCCTGTCAAAAAATAATAAATAAATAAATAAATAAATAAAGAGAGAGAGAGAAATGGGTGCTGAGCAGGGTCAAAATAAAGAAAACAGACTTCTATGCCAGAAAATATAGTTGGGAAATGAACATTCTGAGACTACAGGTCATGGCAAACAGTTAATACTTTTAAAAAAGATTTTATTTATTTATTTGAAAGGTGGAGTTACAGAGAGAGGGAGAGACAGAGAGAGAGAGGTCTTCCATCCACTGGTTCACTCCCTAGATGGCTGCAACGGCTGGAGCTGGGCCAATCTGAATCCAGGAGCCAGGAGCTTCTTCCGGGTCTCCCATGTGGGTGCAGGGGCCCAAGCACTTGGATCATCTTCTATGGCTTTCCTAGGCCATAGCAGAGAGCTGGATTGGAAGAAGAGCATCAGGGACATGAACCAGCGTTTGTATGGAATGTCAGCCCTGCAGGCAGAGGCTTAGCCTACTATGCTACAACGTGGGCCCCAAAAGGTTAATGTCTGTAGCTTGATGACTCAAAAAGTCTAACCCTTATTGACATAGAGATAACAGAGATAAATTTGTAGAAGTTGGCTGAGGTTTAAAAATGTTCTATTTCCTTCTTTCAAAGCCATCACCCTCCTTCTAATCCTGCTGTTTGAAACAATGGAGATAGGTTTGCCTTTTGCGTTCCTTACTTCTCACCCTTCCCATGTTGGGTCAGCAGATAAATCCGATCGAGTCTTCCTTTAACTTTTCTCATTTGCTTGTTATTTTTCCCCTGTATTTGCACTGATGCCACAGCAGCAGCTCAGGCCTTGGTGGGCCTAGTGAAATGTGAGCACCTCTTCCCCAGGAAACCTGGTGCAGCTTCTGGAGGACGGGCTCGGGTTCTGTGCCCATCGGTGAGCCTAGCCCCATAGCTGTGGGATGCTGGACACGCATTGGCCAGGCCTGGGTCGTGTGTCCATCTGGGAGCTGGCCAGGAATACAACCAACCTTCTCTGTATCACTCGATCTGAGAGTGGGGTAAGAAAAGGTGCTCAAAGGAAAAGCAGGAAGTCCATGACAAAAGAAGAGAAAATGAGCAGTAGGCAAGTCAACACAACAGAGAGGCAGCAACCGTAGATACTTAAACCACATGATGGGGCCGGTGCCGTGGCTCGCTTGGTTAATCCTCCGCCTGTGGCACTGGCATCCCATATGGGCGCCGGGTTCTAGTTCCGGTTGCTCTTCTTCCAGGCCAACTCTCTGCTGTGGCCCTGGGAAGGCAGTGGAGGATGGCCCAAGTGCTTGGGCCCCCACACCCGCATGGGAGACCAGGAGGAAGCACCTGGCTTTGGATCAGTGAGTGCAGCGCCAGCCATGGCAGCCATTTGGGGAGTGAACCAATGGAAGGAAAATCTTTCTCTCTGTCTCTCTCACTCACTTTCTATAACTCTACCTGTCAAATAAAAAAAAAAAAACAAACACACATGACTTCCGATCTGAAAGTACACCAAAATGTATATATTAGACATCATGGAACTCATAAAATCGGATTTTCAAACTGGAAGGGATTACAGCAGTTTTCTCCTTACTTTGTTTCCATTAGCCGTTCTTTGTGCACGCATACCGCTTTGTGCCCTGAGCCCTGGAGCCCTAGTGTAATCAACATGTCCCAAAAGTCCTTGTTCCTTCCCGGCCTTCAGCGCATCATTCCCCTCCCCCTCAACTGGGGAAATTCATTGTTCAGGAGATGAGCCTGGCTGCCTGCATCCAAGATCCAAAAAAACAGTGGTTTCAGCAAATGAGTTTATTTCTCCCTTCCCTGGTAGGGATGCTGGCTGTGCTCCGGGAGGGCACCAGCAACCAGGGCTCCTTCTTTCTGTTGTGACACTAACTCTGCAGGGAGTGCTGCCTTGGCGTGCATGGTCCAAGATGGCGCACCAGCAGTTCCCCATTCCAGCCCCCGGGAAGTAAGAAGACTGGGAAGGGGAGGGAGAACCCCGTTCTGTTAACAGCACAGCCTGGAAGTCGTGTCTGTTGCCTCTGCCCACATCCCATTGACCACCCTCCTGTCCAGGATTAGGTGCAAGGGAGGCTGGGAATTGAGTCTTCATTCTGGGAAGCTGGGGATGCGGCCACGGGAGAGAGGAGAACAGACTCTAGAAGACAAGCACCGTTGTTTGCAGAGCAGAGAGCAGAAAATTCCTGACTTGTCCTTTTTTTTTTTCCAGGTTAAATACAAAGCTCTCCAAGTGACTGCAAATGTGGGACTATTTTAACACTCTGTCCCAGCATGTCTTCCTTCTACAGGAATAAAGGCTATGTGGAAACTCCAGCTTATTCTGGCCACTCAGGCTCTCAGAACTACACGAGGGGGTATTCGAGCACTCAGGATTATCCGGATTTTCCAGATCCTCTGAATAATCCAGACTACCCCAGTGCCAGCAGTAGTCCGTCCTCTGCAGGTTCTAGAACAAGTCCAGACTATCTTCTGTCTCTGCCAGAGCCAGATTACAGTGACTCTCAGAGCAGTCCATACCACCGCGACTCATCCAGAGATTTGGACTACCGTGGATCTCAACGGAATCCTGAGTTTGCAGGTTCCAGAAGCAACGGGAACTATGAAGGCTCTAGAACAAGTCCAGATTATCTTGTCTCCTTGGGAGAACCAGACTACCCTGGAGCCCAGGGCACCTTTGACTCACCCATCCCCAGAGCCAATTCCAACCTTCTAGGATCCAGAAAGAATTTGCAATATGCTGGTTCCAGAGTCAACCCATCCACGCGATCTCTGGGACAGCCTGATTACCCAGGTGCTGAGAATCAACCCGGCTCCTCACACTTTTTAGGGAAGCCAGACTATCTTGTTGCTGAGAACTTTCAGAACTCTCCCGCCTTTTGGGGGAACCCTGATTACCCAGGTGCTGAGGATGGTCAGGATTATGGCTCTTCTGATACCCTGGAAGTGACCAGAAGGTAAGTTCAGGCACCTCCTCATTGGTGGTGGGGCTGCGCCATCATCAAGTCAATGGAACTTGACTTTAGTTAGGGGCATGTGATGGTTTCTATAACCTCAAGTTGGTAAGACCGGCCATGGGCACCCAGCCTCTGGCTGCAGGCTGTTATCTGAACCCAGTCGCTCATCACCTCTTGCCTGGATCTCTTCCCAACTTTCCTGTCTCCCTCCTGATCCAGTACCTGGAAGAGCCCGTTATGTGGATTGCCAGTGACATTTGGGTTAAGACTGCACAATCATGAATCCAAACATCCTAGACAGAATCACATCAACTCACAGATTTTTAACATGAAAATCTTTTTTAAATTTCTTTTTTAAAAAATTCATTTATTTAAAAGGCAGAGTTACAGAGGGGGAGAGAGAGAGAGAGAGAGAGGAGAGAGAGAGAGAGAAATATTCCATCCACTGGTTCACTCCCCAAGTGGCTGCAATGGCTGAAACTGAGCCAATGCAAAGCCAGGAGCTTCTTCTGTGTCTCCCTCGTAGGTGCAGGGTAAGCACTTGGGCCAGCTTCCACTACTTTCCCAGGCCATAGCAGAGAGCTGAATCAGAAGTGGAGCATCTGGGACTCAAACTGGCACTCATATGGGATGCTGTGTTGTTGGCGGAGGCTTAACCTACTATGCCACAGTGCCAGCTCCTCATGAAAATATTTTGAAAGTCTAACTCTTTGAAGTCAGTGTAATTTCTCATTTTTTTAAAGATTTTTTATTTATTTATTTGACAGAGTTACAGACAGTGAGAGAAAGAGAGAGAGAAAGGTCTTCCTTCTGTTGGTTCATCCCCCAAATGGCCGCTATGGCCGGCGCGCTGTGCTGATCTGAAGCCAGGAGCCAGGTGCTTCCTCCTGGTCTCCCTTTCGGGTGCAGGGCCCAAGCACTTGGGCCATCTTCCACTGCCTTCCCAGGCCACAGCAGAGAGCTGGACTGGAAGAGGAGCAACTGGGACTAAAACTGGCACCCATATGGGATGCTGGGGTGCCGCAGGTGGAGGATTAACCTAGTGCCAAGGTGCCGGCTCCTCAATTTGTGTTTTATGCAAGATGATTGAGCCACTCCTACCTTTTTCTACTTTCATTTTTATTTTTCCAAAATAATTGTCACCAGAATCGATTACTTTTCAGGTAAACATTACTGCAGACTTGATTTATCAATCTGTGTTTTTATTTTCATTTAATTTTTCTTATTATACTTCATCATTGTCAGCATTCCTTTAAAGCCAATTGAAATTTTATTTTCACTTTATTTGAAATACAGGGAGACAGACATAGACATAAGGAAATCTTCCATCTGCTGGTTCCCCCATGCCCCCCCCCCCCCCCAATGCCTGCATTGGCTGAGACGGGACCAGGGTGAAGCCAGGAGTCAAGAACTCATTCTGGGTCTTCTATGTGAGGGGCAGGTACCCAAGAACTTGAGCCATAACTGTTCTTTCCCAGAGCTCACTAGCAGGAAGCTGGAATTGGGAACAGAGGCTAGACTCAAACCCAGGTGTTCTGATACGGGTGTGGGCATCTTACCTGATGGGTTAACTGCAAGATCTAATGCCTGCTTCTACCATCTCAACCAATAAGAACCTTATTTTGCCTTATTTTGGACTTACTGTTTCTAACAGTAGTATTTATGATTTGATAAAATTAGTGGCTTAAGATTATCTCTGGGAACAAAGTTAAAAGGTTTGGGTTACAGAAATCAAAATGTGTTTAGGACCCAAATAGTAGGGTTAGCAGAACATGGTCAAAATGTCCTTCTGGGGCCCGGTGCTGTGGGGTAGCAGGTAAAGCCGCCACCTGCAGTGCCGCCATCCCATATGGACTCTGGTTCAAGTCCTGGCTGCTCCAATTCAGATCCAGCTCTCTACTATGACCTGGGAAAGCAGTGGAAGATGGCCCAAGTCTTTGGGTCCCTGTACCCGCATGGGAGACATGGAAGAAGCTTTTGGCTTCGGATCAACCCAGCTCTGACCATCACAGTCATTTGGGGAATGAACCAGCAAATGGAAGACCTCTCTCTCTCTCTCTCTCTCTGCCTCTGTAAATCTGCCTTTTGAATAAATAAATAAATTTTTAAAAAATGTCCTCCTTAGTTGTAGCTCTCACCACCTGACTCATTGTCCCAAAGCCCACGTTTTAATCTGTCTCTCCTTGGCATCTCATATTCCACGAGTCCCCATGGCCTTTGGGAGAAAGGCTGTGTGGCCTCTTCTATGGAGCATTTATTAAGAGGAGACACTGTGCTGACACGTGCTGACAGATAAGACCAGCACACTGATCTCCCTCCCCTGCCTGGTCCCCCCTCCCTGCCTTGACGCTGTATTCTAGGCTACTGGTTTTTGATCTTCAGTGATCCTTGGCACTTCACTACTTGGGGGACTAGTTCGGATTTCTGTGCCCAATCTTTAGAGTTTCTCGTTTGTCTGGGACAACCCTTGAAAATCAGTATAGAATAGAGGACCTTTGATCCAGGCTCATTGGATTTCATAGCATTCAGGACCCTTGACCCAGGCTCATTGGATTTCATAGCATTGAGGACCCTTGACCCAGGCTCATTGGATTTCATTAGCATTCCCTTTGTATCTTCCATGCTTTCTGGCCTTTGGAATGCCCTCCCCCTAGTTATGTATGAATTTATCCTTCTAACCTCCCCTCGGACATCTCTTTTCCTCATAGATTTCCCCCAACACGAATTCTTCTCTCCTTCCTCTGAACTCTTTGAGCCTGTCTTTGGGTGTTCATCAGTTTCTATTTGTATTTTAATTGCTCATGGCTGTGTGTAAGCCACTGGGCCAGACTGTACTAGGAGTTCCTTCAGGGCAGATACCCTATATCTTTACCTTTGTGTCCTCGTCACTAGCCCATGCACAACATGTGGTTGGCATTCAGTCAACATTTGTGGGATGAATGGGTAGATGAATGGACAGATGAGTGAATATATGGATAGATATATGAATGATGGATGAATGGATGAATGAATAGATACATGAATGGATTGATGGATCGATATATGAGTGATGATGAATAGACAGATGAATGGATACATGAATGGATGGATCGATATATGAATGATGGATAAGTGGACGGATGAATGGATAGACAAATGGATACATAAATGGATGGATGGATGAATTGATATATGAATGATGGATGAACGGATGGATGAATGGACAGACGAATGAATACATGAATGGATGGATGGGTTGATATATGAATGATGGATGAATGGGTATGTGAATGGATTGATAGATTGATATATAAGTGATGGATGAATGGACAGACGAATGAATACATGAATGGATGGATGGATCGATATATGAATGATGGATGAATGGATACATGAATGGATGAATGGATCGATCGATATATGAATGATGGATGAATGGGTATGTGAATGGATTGATAGATTGATATATAAGTGATGGATGAATGGACAGACGAATGAATACATGAATGGATGGATGGATCGATATATGAATGATGGATGAATGGATACATGAATGGATGAATGGATCGATCGATATATGAATGATGGATGAATGGATGGATGACTGTCCTCACCACACTACTGAGCGGATAGTGCTCTGCCCTTTTGGAATTTCAGGATGCTCACCAGAGCATCTTCAAACCAGCACTCCTTTCATTGCAGGAGCAGTGGCCCCTTGGGCGTTCTTGGTGGAGACCATGAAGATTACCCTGAAAACATTGAAATGACATCCATGAGAGTGGCAAATCCTTACGGCCCCTCCCTGCCAGGTGCTCCTGGAAATGGCTATGGTAAGCATTTGTCAAAAGGAGGATCATGTCCTGGGAGGAAATTAAAATCCAGTTGATGCACATGTGTAATTATTACGGCATCATAGCGGTAGAAGGATTGATTTCTGCTTCCCCCTCCAACATCTCATCTGATACAGGAGTTGAGAGCTCAGTGTCTGGAGAAATCAAGTGTCATGAATTATCAAAGGCCAGGTAAAGGTTGTGGAAGACCAAGGCCTGCACCTGTGCCTACCTGAGGTGCTGAAGTCAAGTCTGGTCCACGTTGGCTACATAGGAATGTAGGCTCAGTGTGCTGAGATCCTCAGAGTTTTCCAAATGAGTCAGATTTTTTTAAAAAAATATTTATTTTTAAGGCAGAGTTAGAAAGAGAGAGAGAGAGAGAGAGCCTGCTGGTTCACTCTCCAAACAGCTGCAACAGCTGGGGCTGAATCAGGTTGAACTCCTTCTGAGTCTCCCACATGAGTGCCCAGGGCCTAAGGACTTGGGCCAGCTTCTACTAATTTCCCAGGCACGTTAGCAGGCAACTGGATCAAAAATTGAGTAGCTAGGGCGCGAACTGGTGCTCATATGAGATGCTGGTGTAGCTTAACTTGATGCATTTCAACACCAGCCCCAAAGTCAGACATTTTTTAAAAAATATGAAATCCCCTGTATTCATCCATTTTCTGTTGCCCTAACAAAGTAGCTGAGGCTGTTGTAGAGAAAAGTGCTTTATTTAACTCTGTTTTGGAGACTACGAATGCAAAACCAGAAGTGTTTAGCCTCTGGCGTGGGCCCCCTTATGCTACACCACAGTATAGCAGAGAGGCAGGAAGCAAAGTGAGCCTTGTGCAGAAGGGCCAAGTGCATTGTCTGTGAAGGTAAATTACTTAGCACTGGGAGGCAAAGGAAATCCTAAACAGGTCTGACCTGTCAGGAGAAAAAGGGACTCATTGCCGTGTAGGGGAAAACCAATTCTTTACGCAGGAGAAAACAATCCTGGCTCTGTTAAGGAAAGGTAGAGTGTGTGTGTGTGGGGAGGGGGGGTCAGAAAGCAGAGGCGGGGCTCTGCTAAGAACGGCACAAAGAGCACGAGTGTGGGGAGGTGCGGTTGGAGGGCTGGGCAGCCATGAGCAGGATGCAAGGAGAAGGTTTTGAAGAAAAGAGGGATGCATTCCATCCTGGCAAAACCATCACCGGTTGAAAATACCGTAGGTGGAAAATGCAGTTGCTACACCCAACCCGTCCAACATCATGACTTAGCCACACAGTGCCTCCCGGGGTATTGGTGTCGGAGGCTTCTGCTCGCAGTCAGGGGGCTGACTGGCAGCGGCGCCTCGCTGGCACTGTCCAGCTTCGCCAAGAGAGGATTGGACCGCGTGTCAGTAACCTGGGGAAATTTTCAAAGTGCAAAATTCTCAATATGGCTTCTACTGAATGCATATCACTTTTTCACTACCATAAAATAAAAACTGAAGTTAAAAATCATTCAATTGAACTGTTGTTAGGTCACAGAAGGTTTGTGCTCATGAAAAGCGTGGGTTCTACTTATTTGCATAAAAATTGTCATCCGGGAGTCCAGACGTCAGTTGTTCACCGCACAGCTGTTCCAAACCTGTGTTCAAGTCTCAGTAGGGAGCAGTAGCATCTCAGGGAAGGGAAATTCGTTCTTGAAAGGTCAATGTCCCTCTTCCTCTTCTTAGGTCGATGCATGTTTTCTCTCTTGAGTTTGCATTTAATGTTTACATGGATTGGAGGGAAACGATTGATACGTGACACTGTCACGTAGGAGCTGAAAGTGTACTCTGTCTCTAAGGAGATTGTGCCGTATTTCAAATTTATCCTTGTGTTGCCATAAAAGGCTAGAGCTGGAGGGACCCTTTGAACTCATCTACACAAGTGTAGTTATAACTCATTGACAAGCTATGAAATGGATTTTTAAAGTGAAATAGAATTAACATTAAGTACAGGGGCCAGCACTGTGGCGTAGCAGGTAAAGCCGCCACCTGCAATGCCGGCAACCCATATGGGCACCGGTTCAAGTCCCGGCTGCTCCACTTCCAATCCTACTCTCTGCTATGGCCTGGGAAAGCAGTAGAAGATGGCCCAAGTCCTTGGACTCCTGCACCCGTGTGGGAGACCCTAAAGAAGCTCCTGGCTCCTGGCTTTGGATTGGCACAGCTCCGGCCGCTCCGGCCACATGGGAAGCAAACCAGAAGATGGAAGATCTTTCTCTCTGCCTCTCCTTCTCTCTGTCTATAACTCTACCTCTCAAATAAATAAATAAAATCTTTTTAAAAATATAATTTATCCTGGCTGATTATATTTAGTAGCATTATTTTTGATGCTTTGTCTTATTTTCCATCTGAGATCTTTATCATTTGTCTGTTAGAACCTCAAAGACAGAGTTTCATTTCTTTGTGAATGGTTACTAAGCATTACTATCAGGTCCTAATTATAATGCACTCCATGATATCTGGTATGGTGGGAATAATTTGCAATGTCTCCCTCCCTTTTATTCTAGTGAATCCTGCTTTTGGGGGTGAAGGTAGCCCTATCCCTGCTTATGGAAACCCACCGTTGACTGAAAGTCACTGGTACAAGTCACCCCAAGGTAAGGCCCAATGAACAGTGACCAAAGAGACAACCGTGGAGAAGGAGCGTCTGCACAGCAATGCAGGCTTTGCCATTTCGCACTGGACTCTGGTGTGGCAGTCGACGCCATGCTTGCTTAGTTTATCATAATGAGGTTTTCTTGTAGGGGTAACAGATGACTTCATTAGCAATCTTCTGGTTGCAAAGGACAGGAACTCTATTCAGATGGGCATTAACCCCAGGGGAATTTATGGGCTCAGAGGGTGGGAAGGTCTCTTGGTCTGTTTTCTGTTGCTATAACCATATACCTGAGGCTGGGTGTTTTACAAAGGAGGGTTTGTTTAGCTCACAGTTTGGGAGGTTGAAAGTCCGAGACTGGGCGGCCCCCTTAGTTCAGCGGCAGGCTGAAGGCCTCCTGGCTGCATCCCAGTGTGGCAGATGAGCTCAGTGAGGGGGAGAAGGGGAGGGAGGAGAGCAGTCACCTGGTGAGTCAAGAAGCCAGTCTTGCCTTTTTTTTTTTTTTTTTTTAATGATTTGCTTATTTGGGGCCAGCATGGTAGCATAGCTGGTTAAGCTGCTGCTTGCGATACTGTCACTGACATCCCATATCTGAATGCTGGTTTGAGTCCCAGCAACTCTGCTTCTTATGCAGCTCCCTGCTGATGTGCCTTGGAAAGCAGTAGAAGATGACCCGAGTGCTTGGGTCCCTGCCACCCATGTGGGACACCTGGATAAGTTCCAGGCTCCCAGCTTTAGTCTGGTCTAGCCCTGGCCCTTGCAGCCATTTGGGAAGTGAACCAGCAAATGGAAGCTCTCTCCCTCTCTCTCTGTCTCTTCTTCTCTCCGCGTCACTCTGCCTTTCAGAGAGAGGAGAAACAGACAGAGAGATATCAATCTTCCATCTGCTGGTTCACTTCCCAAATGCCTGCAACAGCTTGGGCCAAGCTGAAGCCAGGAGCCAGCAACTACATCCTGATCTCTCCTGTGCATGAGAGGAACCCAAGTACTTGGGCTTCATCTGCTGCCTCTCTAAGCTGGATTGAATGCTTAGAGAGGCTGGGACCAACCAGGCACTCTAATATGGATACAGGCATCCCACGTGGCAGCATAACCTACGGCACAAGTGCCCACTCAAAGCTTACCGTTTTTGTTTTTTCAATAACAACTCATTCATCCAGGAAATAACCAGGGTGCAGAGAGAACTCCATTAATCCCTTCTGAGAGTGGCAGCCCCAGGATGAAGGGACACTCTAGTCCCCACTGCTAAAAGGCTTCACCACCTGTCCACATCGCCGCACTGGGAGCCAAGCTTCCGGCACCTGAACTTTTGGGGGGCACTCAAACTAGATCCAAACCATAGCAGAAGGACACAGGAGAAACGCCAGGAATTAAAATAGAAGTACTTTCCAGGGCCTAGTTGAGTGGCTGGCACAGAGTGGATACTTTAGGGCTAATTGATGAGTTGATTTGTTGAATGGGTTATGGAAACCAGGGCCTCACAGTCTAATGTTAGGGTCCCAAGATCACCTGGACCCTACGGTTTCCCATCCATGTTTCATCTCGTTGAACTTGACCTTCATCTCCATAGAGTCAGGCCTTTCTACCTGCCCTTCAGCTTAGCTACCTCCTTAGAAGACCTCCTCACCCCACCCCCACCCCCTGTCTGTCCATCACGCAATGACCTCTTTGGCTAGAGCACATGCCTACACTTGAGTCAGTCGTTTTCACCACCTCCTGGGGTCCAGTCATGTCTGTCTTGGTGAAGAGGAGGTGCAGTCATCAGAAATGTTCTGAGGAAGCATGCGGTTGTGATGATGGCGGGGTGTGGAGCAGGCACACTGCGGAAACAGAGAAGCCAGTTAGAACGCTCACTGAGGATCACCGTGTGCAGTGACTCGGTCTGCTCAGAGGCAGGGACCGGGCGTGGGAAGGAAACGATGGAGGAGAGAGGCGAGGACACGCTGGAACCAACAGACAAGTCTGTGAGCAGCAAGGAATAAACTAACGGGGTCCTCTGTGACAGTGATAAAAACACCCCTCACGTTCCACCCCACAGCCTCTGTGCTGACCTCGGGGCCATTCAAGGGCCTTCCCAGGGAGTGTCTGATCTTGCTCCCTGGGAGGGAAAACCATGGAGAAACAAGTGAGCACAGTCTCCATTGAGTGCTTACTAGACAGACGGTGCCCTTGGCAATGCAGAAGAGGAAGAGCCTTGACATGTCCCGAGACTGCTCTGTTTGGCCCACCTGAAGCCTGGGGACCCTGGAAGAGGAGGAGTCCCACAGAGGACCCAGTGATGGACCTGGCCTGTTTGTTCACTTTGCCTTGCTGGGTCCTGATTCTCAAATCACATACAATTAAGGGGTGGACAGTTTTGTGATATATTATTGCTTCCGTAGATTAAGTTATACCCCCGGGAGCTCCTGGAACATAGTACACACTCTCATAAACATTGATTCATTACTTCATGAATGAATGAATGATATACCAGCCTCTTGTTACAGGAAGGCACCAGGATGAGATGATTCAGAGCTCCTGATTTGGGGTTCAGCTCAACGTGGGTTTGACCCCCAGTTCTGTTACTTGATAATTTTATGATCTTAGAAAAAATTATTTCATTGAGCCTGTTTTCTTAGCTCTATAATGGGGTTGACAATTGTACCTCCCTTACAGGGTGATGATAAACAAAAGGATATTCTGTTTAGAGTCCTTGCCTTGCAGTAATCGCAGGTATCGTTACTGTTCATTATTGCTGCTGGGGGGAAGGAGGACTTGAGTTCCAGCCCAATTCTGCCTTTGAATGCGAGTATGACGGACGGGGGAGTCAGTCCATCTCTCTGCACCTTGATTTCCCCAACTGTTAAATAAACACCTTGGCCCAGGTGGTTTCTAAATCAGATCTGTTAGAAGGGAATTGTGTTCAAGTGCCTGGCACTGAAACAGAGCAGTGACTTTGTAATAAAGAGATTTGTTTTTCTCTCGTAATAAGCAGTGTGGAGGGAGGAGGTTCATGGGTTGTATAACACCACTGCCCAAAATGCACTCAAGAACTGAGGCTCCTTCTATAGTTTCTTTTGCTTACTATTTTAAACATTTTTAACTTTTAATTTTATTTGAAAAAGAGAAAGATTGAGAAATCTTCCACCTGCTGGTTCACTCTCCAAATGCCCACAACAGTCAGGGCTGGCCCAGGCTGAAGCCAGGATCCAGGAACTCCATCTGGGTCTCCCACATGGGTGGTAGGGACTCAAGGACTTGAACCATCATGTATGGCCTCCCAGGAGGGTGGATCAGAAGTGGAGCTGGGACTCCAACCGTGTGCTCCAGTATGGGATGTGGGCATCCCAAGGGACATCTTCGTTATACCAAACGCCTGCCCCTCTATATTTTCTTTCTCTGCCATGCTTAGCAGGTGAATGCTCATCTTCTTGCTTTCAACCAGCTGCCTGCAGGCACACAGGAAGATGAAGGGCTAAAGATGGACCCAAGCAAACTGGCCCCCTTTAAAGAGCATTTCTGGGGGCCGGCGCTGTGGCACAGCAGGTTAAAGCCCTGGCCTGAAGCGTCGGCATCCCATATGGGTGCCGGTTGTAGTCCCGAATGCTCTTCTTCCGATCCAGCTCTCTGCTGTGGCCTGGGAAAGCAGTAGAAGATGGCCCAAGTCCTTGAACCCCTGTACCCATGTGGGAGACCCTGAAGAAGTTCCTGGCTCCTGGCTTCAGATGGGCGTAGCTCTGGCCGTTGCGTCCAATTGGGGGAGTGAACCAGTGGATGGAAGACCTCTTTCTCTCTTTGCCTCTCTTACTCTCTCTGTGTAACTCTAACTTTCAAATAAATAAATAAATCTTAAAAAAAATAAAGAGCATTTCTGGACACTGCATGTCTCTTTGGCTAAAACCACATCACAGGGTACCCATTAGCTGCAAAGGAAGCTGGGAGAATTGAAAGTGGGTGCAGAGTCTGTACAGGAAATGGAGTGTCTGCTGGTGTGAGTACAAGGGAGAACGCATGTTGGAAGGCAGTCAGGAGATAACAATGGCAACACTAGCAACCCGTCTGGATTTCTATGAGCACATGAAATTGCACTTGAAAGTTCTAGGCCAGAGACATGAAATTAAAAACTTTGCCCTTTGATTACGAGTCGTGTAGGGGAAGCTCCACCTTCTGTTTGTAGAATCCCCCTGTGTGTAATGAAGGGTTCTGTTTCTGATTTCTTCCCTAGCTACCAAGACAGAATTCTCTGCAGGGAAACACGCCTCCTCCCCAGGAGACCCTTGGGGGCAGAGGGGGCGCTGGGCTGTAGTCTGGGTGGGGCCTGACACGTAAACAGATGTGAATGGCGCACAGCTTTGCGATTGTCATCGCTTTCCCCATGCGAGTGGTGAGGATGCTGGTGTGACCACGCAGTGGGGTGTTGGCAACCCCACCCCAAGGGGAAGAATAAGGCTTTTGGGAGGCAAGCGATGCTGCCAGATGACCAAGTGAATGAAATCGTCGTAGAGGTTGAGAATGTTCCCGCTGGGGTCCGGAGCCATCCGTCCCCAAATCCGCTTTTCCAAGAAAGGACCCTGCTAAAGCCCAGCTTCAGCATGGTTTCCTCAGCATCTGACGTCGACGTGCTGGACCCGCCGCTGTTCAGCAGCGGGAGTGACCGGAAGTGCAACCGCCTGCTGCGGTTCTCGGCATCCTTGCACGAGTCAATGTCTCAGACCGTTCACAGCCCAGAATGCACAGGCGCTGATGGTCCTTGTGCTTCTTGTGAAACCATTCAAGGTAGTCGAATGCCAGGGAAAGGAATGAGGGAGGGGGCCAAGAGGCCTTCCGAGTTGTCCGCAGAGTTTCTACTTTTTAAAAGACAATTTATGTTTATTTTCTTTCCACTTGAAAGACAGAGAGACAGGGGGACAGAAGGATAGAGATCCTCTGTCTGCTGGTTCATTCCCCCAAATACTTGCAATAGCCAGGGCTGGCCTAGGTTGGATCCAGGAGCCTGGAACTCCATTTGGGTTTCCCACGTGGGTAGCAGGGGCCCAAGTACTACGACGTCACCTGCAGCCTCCCAGCGTATGCATTGGCAGGAAGCTGGGATCAAGGACAGAGGCAGGACTTGAACCTGAGACTTGAATCCAGACACTCTGACGTGGGATGCAGGTGCCCCAAGCAGCATCTTACCTGCTAGGTCAGATGTCCACCTTGCATCTCGTTTTGTTAACCATCTCTTTGATTTTATTTACACCTCACACCCCACACCTTTAAGGCAGGCATTTCTGCCTGATGGATGAGGAAGCTGAGAGTTAGGGAAGTTTGGTGATCTGGGAGATCGGATTAAACACCCCACTCTGAATTTTTCCTTTATCTACTTGAGAGGGGTATGTGCGTGCACATACACACACACAGAGATAGAGAGGGAGAGAGATCGCCCAACTGCTGGTTCACATGCCTGCAACAGTGAGGGCTGGGCCAGGCCAAAGCCAGGAATCTGGAACTCAATCCAGGTCTGTCAGGTGCATGGCAGGGACCCAAGTACTCGAGCCATTGCCTGCTGCCGCCCCGAGTGCTTGGCCGCCCCTCTCTGGTCCACTTCTTCCTCACCTGCTCCCAGGGAACATGCATCTGCATGGTGTCTTCCTTCCCTCCCTTCTTCTGCTCCAGAGAGACACACATTCCTTGTCTTCAACAAAGTGACCTGGTGGCCTTCCCTTGGGGATTCCCGGTCTCCCTCAACTACGTCATTTGAGTGCTGCCTTGCAAGGAGTTCCAGCTCAGTGATGTGACCGGGAAGCCTTCCCACTCTGCCGTCCCTCTGCCACATCCAGCTCATTACTGATTCGTGGTTACAAGATGGCAGCAGCAGCTCCAGGCATCACATGCACACACAACAATACCCAGAGGAAGAAGGATTTGTCTTTCCCTTGTCTTTTGCTTACTGGGGGAGAAGGAAGAAACCTTTCCCAAGAATCTTAGCCCATCACCCCCAGAGAGCATCGGCTAACACCGTGTCACCTGCTTGTGCCAATCCAGTCGCTGGCAAGGGAGCATCAGGATTGACTTAGCTGATTAGAAGCTGCCTGGCCCTTGTGCCTGGAGGTGGTCTCTCCCCAGTAAGCTCGGGGTTTTGAGGAAGGTGAGGTAGATTCCTCAACACAATGGAAATTGTACTAAGAAGGAGCAAATGACTTCGGGGTAGGCAACCCAGCAGTCTCCGCCACCCTGACCACAGATGAGAATCTGAGTTGATGGGGAAAGTGGGAGGGATAACGCACCTCCTGGGGGGTGTAAAAGCATCTGAAGGTGTTTGGGCCCGGAGTTCAAGGGCGCAGAAGGAAATGAATTGGGAATTGAGAGGAGAGAGGAGAAGGAGGCTGTTTAAGCATAGAGGGTCTCGCTGACTTTACTAATTTTTTTTTTTTTTGTCATGAGAAAGAGGAAAACATTGATTTGAAATAGCACACAGACATCACCATTTGGTTTGGCCTTGGCTTTTGCACTCACCTATCTTAGGGTGAATGGTTGTATTGGGGGAGGGAGTGTGATCTTGGAACTTTGGGTTCATATATTCTTTCGTTGTGATCTTTAAAAAGCACTTTCTGACTTCAGCACTGTATTTTAAAATGTTATTATTCTGTTCAAAAAAATTAAACTGTTTATTTTATTCCACAGGACAGAAGTTAATTGCATCTCTGATCCCCATGACATCCAGAGACAGAATTAAAACCATCAGGAACCAACCGCGGACCATGGAAGAGAAGAGGAACCTCAGGTAGGGACCAGAGGTTTTTCTGCTTTCTGAGGTTTCATGTGCACCCCACTCTTCTACTTTTGTCTCATACCAAAAAATAAGAAATAAAATGAATGCAAGAGAAGAGACAGCTCTTCCTCCTGGAAGAATTCCAAATACTAATCCAGGTGGGAATTCTTCTCTCCAGAACCTGGAGTTTAAACTCACTGGGTTAGCTGGTGTGTTAGTCACATGTTTGCTGACTTCCAAAGAGCAGGTTATGCAAAGGAGGAGAAAAGGAACTTCCCAGTGCAGTCTGGCTGCCGCTCCCTGGGCCAGGTGCTCGGGTCAGCATCCCCGAAGCTAAGCCATGTGATGAGCTGGGCTCACTGTTGGTTGGTGCTCTCTCCTAACACCCATTGTCCCAGTCTAACTAGAGGAAAATATTAGGAAAATCTCCGTTGAAGGACAAAATACCTGACCAGGACTTGAAGCTGTCAAGGTCATTGAAGAGAAGGGAAGTCTGAGAAACTGTCACAGATCAGAGGATTCTAAAGAGTTGTGACAAGTCAGGGAATGCGGTGTTGTGGATGGGATCCTGGAATAGAGTGTGGACACGGGTGAAAAAAAAACAGATAACGTGGAATCATGAATAGTTTGGAGTTTAGGAAATAGTGACGTACCAGTGTTGGTTTCTTAGTTTTGACAAATGTAATGTGAAAATGCAAGATGGAAACAGGGAAAATTAGTCTACTCTTGGTACCATCTCTGCAACTTTACTGTTAATCTCAAACTACTCTAAGGGAAGTTTAGTTGGAGCCAACACTGTGGCATAGCGGGTTAAGCCGCCATCTGTAGCACCAGTATCCCATATGGGTTCAAGTCCCAGATGCTCCACTTCTGACCCAGCTCCCTGCTAATGCGCCTGGGGAAGCCTAGGGAGTGGAGGATGGCCCAAGTTCTTGGGCCCTGGGATCCATGTGGAAAATCCAGATGAAAACGTTGGCTCCTGGCTGTTGCAGCCATCTGGGGAGTGAACCAGTAAATGGAAGACCTCTCTGTCTGTCTGTCTCTCTCTCTCTCTCTCTCTGTAATTCTTCCAAATAAATAAATCATTAAAAAAGGAAGAAGTTTACTTAAGAAATAAAGAAGACCTTATGAGCTTCCTAAACCCAGGGATTCAAAAGCAAGAAGTAGACGTAATTTAGCAACAGATGTTAACATTGCTTGTCCTGTAGTCTTTTTCTTTTTGTAGTTTGTAGTAGTTGGCAAAAGTGAGTAGAGTGAAAGCAACAACAGTTGCTAATAAATTGTTCAATGACTCCATTTTTCTGAGATTGCAAAGATGGATTTCAGGGCCTGGCTGGGGAAATAGATTTGTCAACAAACCGCTTACAGACGGCAGAAAGAAAATCAGGCCAGATGGAGGCGGAAGGAGATTGCAGCGGGAGGACCAGGAAGCAGGGATGTGGTAGCTGGGGGCAAACAGGGCGGCGTTTGTACTGGAAGGACGGCGTCACGGGGGTGGACGACGGAGAGGGACCCAAGAAACCCAGGAAAGAACCAGAACAAAAGAGAAGTGCTGAGTCTGTGGAAGGGTGAAGACACACTGCGACTGTGTCCTTCTCCAAACACTGGTCCATTTCCAAGTTACCATAGCTCCCTTTGTCCTGTGCCCCACAGACCTAACGGCATAATTTCTCAGCCTCATTACCACTGAAATCTTAGGACTGGCTCATTCCCTGCTGTGGGCGTGGTTTTGTTCATCTATAGGGTGCTTAGCAACCAGCTTAGCAACCAGAAAAGTTTTCTGGCATGACTGGTTGTCCCCTGGGAGCAAAATGGCCCCAGGTGGAGAACTGTTGATCTAGACCCCTGCCTCCCTCCATGGTTCCTCTCTACCCTTTGCTTATTCCATGTCCTGCTTGCTGCCCTGCCCTGCCCACTGTGGGGCTTTGCCAGGCTGTTCCTGATGTGCGGGGTGTCCCCGATCTGTACACTAACCCCTCCTCACCTCAAATCAGTGATGCTCAGATATCACCCATATCACCCCCAGATTGTAACACAGTTCCCATTCCAGCAACTTCCATCTCCTTCCCCAGTTCTGGGTTTTCCTTTTCTTTCACATAGTGTAATCTCCTAACACAGTACTGGCTTACTGTTATACTGTGAGTATTCAGTGTTCTTTGTCTTTTTTTTTTCCAGCTAGGATGCAGTCACACACTCAGGGAAGGTGGTCTCTGGCTTCCTGGTGCACATTGTTAACAGGCAGCCGTTTTCCGAGCGACTGAATCATGACCTGGGTGGCTCTCATGTTCTCCCTCCTTGTTCCCCACAGGAAAATAGTGGACAAAGAGAAGAGCAAGCAGTCCCATCGTGCCCTGGAATTCAACTGCTGTGCCCAGTGCCTGAGCTCCCTCTCACTGGTGAGTTAGCCTGCATGGCAGTCAGTAAAATGGATACAGCAAGAGGGTGAAGATGGGGCGGGTGGGTGGGGAGGGAGGCTGGGAGGAGCAGCACCATTCAGGGCCCAAAGCTGCTGGCTCAGTTTAGACGTCAGGGAAGCAGGTGGGAAATGAGGCCTAAGAGGTTGTGGGTTAGTCAGCCATCTTGGCCATCCTGAGTGTTTTTTTTTTTTTTTAACCCCCAGAAACCTTTTATTTAATGTATACAGACTTAATGGATTTCATAAATACAACTTTAGAAAACATAGTGATAGTGATTCTTCGCACTGTACCCACCTTCCCACCCCCACTCCCACCCTTCTTCCTCCTCCCTCTTCTATTCCCATTATATTTTTTACTAAGATCTATTTTCAATTAACTTTATCCACAGCAGATTAACTCTATACTAAATACAGAGTTCAACAAATAGTAAAATGAAAAAAAAAAACTGTTCAAGAGTTTTTTTGATTTCTTCTACAACCCACTGTTCCTTCAGGAGCATGTTGTTCAGTCTCCATGTGTTTGCATATGCTCTAGAGATTCCTGAGTTGTTGATTTCAAGCTTCATTCCATTGTAGTCAGAGAAGACGCTTGGTATGATCTTGATTTTTCTTTTGAATTTTCTGAGTCTCGCTTTATGGCCTGGCCTGTGCTTTACCCTCGAGAAAGTTCCATGCACTGCTGAGAAGAATGTGTATTCTCCAACTGTGGGATGAAAAGTTCTGTAGATATCCGTTAGGTCCATTTGGTCTATAATGCTGATTAACTGTTGTTTCCTTGCTGATTTTCTATCTGGTTGATCTGTCTATTGCTGAAAGTGGGATATTGAAGTCCCCTATTGCTACTATATGGGAGTCTATGTCTTCCTTTAGATTCAGTAACGTTTCTTTTAAATAGCCAGGTGCCACGTAATTGAATGCATATACATTTATTATAGTCACATTTTTCTGTTGAATTGATGCCTTAGTCATTGCACAGTGTCCTTCTTTGTTTCTTTTAACAGTTTTGTGTTTAAAGTCTATTTTGTCTGATACTAGGATGGCTACACAGCTCTTTTTTGGTTTCCGTTAGTATGGAATATCTTTTTCCATCCAGTCTGTGTGTATTATTGTTGGTGAGATGTATTTCTTGCAGGCAGTAAATAGATGGGTTTTGTTTTTTAATCCCATTTAGCCGGTCTGTGTCTTTTAACTGGAAAATTGAGGCCATTTACATTCAAGGTGACTATTGATAAGTACTGACTTGGCCCTGCCGTTTTTCCATAAATATTCCTGTTGTTTACTTTGGATTTCCTTTGTACTTTCACTGGGAGATTTTCTGCCTTCACCTTCTTTCTTAGTGATGACCATGTTTCTGTGTTTCTGTGTGTAGCACATCCTTAAGCATCTTTTGTAAGGCTGGACGAGTGGTGACAAATTCTTTCAATTTGTGTTTATTATGGAAGGTCTTTATTTCACCTTCATTCATAAATGAAAATTTTTCCAGGTACAGTATTCTGGTTTTCTCTTAAGACTTAGAATATATCTTGCCATTCTCTCCTAGCCTGTAGGGTTTCTGATAAGAAGTCCATTGTGAGTCTAATTGGAGATCCTCTGAAAGTAATCTGGCGTTTCTCTTGTGCATGTTTTAGAATCCTCTCTTTATGTTTTACTATGCTGAGTTTGATTTCAGTGTGTTGTGGTGAAGATCTTTTCTGGTAACATCTATTAGGAGTTCTATGTGCTTCCTGTACTTGGACATCACTTTCTTTCTCCACATTAGGGAAGTTTTCTGTAATTATTTCACTAAAAAGGCTTTCTAATACATTCTCTCTTTCCATGCCTTCAGGAACTCCTAAGACCCATATGTTGGGTCATTTCATAGTATCCCATAGTTCTCCAACAGTGTTTTTTAGTTTTCTAATTTCTTCTTTTCTTTTGGGCTGACTAAAATTTCCAGAGATTTGTCTTCTAACTCAGATATTCTTTCTTCTGCCTCACCAATTTTGTTGTTAAACTTTATACCGTATGTTTTATTTGATCTGTTGAATTCTTTATTTCCAATATTTTGTTTTGGTTTCTCTTTAAAAATCTCAATTTCATGAGAAAAATACTCTTTCATGTCATGTACGGATTTCTTTAGTTCATGGGTTTGCTTCTGATTACTTCTTTTTTTTTTTTATTTTTGACAGGCAGAGTGGACAGTGAGAGAGAGACAGAGAGAAAGGTCTTCCTTTTGCTGTTGGTTCACCCTCCAATGGCCGCCGCGGCTGGCGCACTGCGGCCTGCGCATCACGCTGATCAGAAGCCAGGAACCAGGTGCTTCTCCTGGTCTCCCATGAGGGTGCAGGGCCCAGTCACTTGGGCCATCCTCTGCTGCACTCCCGGGCCATAGCAGAGAGCTGGCCTGGAAAAGGGGCAACCGGGAAAGAATCCGGCACCCTGACTGGGACTAGAACCTGGTATGCCAGTGCCGCAAGGTGGAGGATTAGCCTATTGAGCCACGGCGCCGGCCTGATTACTTCTAAGTAATCAATTTTAAAATTTTTTTCTGCGATTTCTTCAATCTCTTCATTTTTACATTAGTACTGAAGTGTTGTTGTGTTCCTTTGGGGGTGTCATGTTGTCTTCTTTCTTCTTGTTTCTTGAATTGCTGCATTTATTTTTAGACATTTGTAGAGATACTTATTGGTTATTTTTTTCCCCTGTGATGGATTTTATTTTTGGACTATGCCTCTGTGGATTAATGGAGTGCCTGCTCTTTTAGTGAATACCCTGAGGCATGTGCTGGGTGTGGCCAGGGAGCTCTGTTCAGTGCTCTAGGGGAGGGGAGTGTCTAAGGTGACTCCCAAATTGGGCGTGGTAAATCTCCTTTTTTTTTTTTTTTAAATCAGAGGGGAGTTTTGTTCAGCTCTGTTGGTATAGTTTCATTCTTACCTCCTTTCCTCCAAGGAGACCAATGCCTGGGCGCTAGCCCCAGTGGGTACAATATCCATCCACACTGCCACAAGAACCACACAAAGGATCTGTGCAATCTTTGATGTGAGCACAGATCCTGCAGTAATGACCCTCAGCAGGGAATCAGGGAGCCCTGAGCATGTGGAGCCGCTCAAGGTGACTGCCCAAAGACCCAGCCACACCCTGCACCCTCACATGTAGCCACAGTGTTTTCACAGTCCCAGCACACAAGGCTCCCACAGTCACGAGCTCTCAGCCCCGTCAGTTCTGCTAGTCAGACTCAGGAGTCTCCTCTTGGCTGGTTGTTGGGCATGTGGACGAGCTGGTGCACCTGTTATGTATGTCCAAAATAGCACCTGCCCCCTCTCAGTTAGTTACAGGACACTGGAGCCAGGTGGTCTGGAAGAGAGAAATGTGCCTCCTTTTTTTTTCATCTAGGTTGGTCACAGGGCTCCAAGCTGGATTCATGCCAGGTTCTTCCATGGCTTTATTGCTTGGGCTGCTACAGTCTGGTCTCACTTCACTCTCCAAAGCTGGTGCTGAGGCTCTAGGCTGCTGGGGTCCTTGGCTGTGCGTATCCACACCCTCCACATAGATCCACAGTGTCCCTCTAATTTGCATGTTTTCTCCCTAACTCTTCCCTGAGACTGTACTCTCTCCACAATTTTTTTAACTGTCTTCCCTAGACTAGAGCAGTAAGCTCCCTCCCTATTCTGCCGTCTTGGTGCCTATCTCTGAGTGTCAGGTTCTTCAACAGCCTGTTGGGAAGGTAGTGATGGTGCCGCCCTAGAGTGTGGCTCTGGTGACTCAATGAGATAGCGTTCATAAATGCACTTGCCATGCCTTGCACTTTATACTGCTCCAGGCATGGTTGGTGGTCGTTTTGGCTGCTCTGTGGGTGTTTGTTGAGTGAATATCAAACGGCCCGCTTTGTTCCCTGACTGCAGGGCTACCGGAGAGCCAAGAGCAACGTGTCGGAGCTCCTCAACTCCGTGAGCCTGTGGCAGAAGACACTCAAGGTCATCGGGGGCAAATTTGGAACCAGCGTCCTGTCCTATTTCAACTTTCTGAGGTGGCTCCTGAAGTTCAACATTTTCTCGTTCATCTTGAACTTCAGCTTCATCACGATCCCTCAGTTCACCGTGGCGGAGAAGAACACCCTCCAGTTCACTGGGCTGGAGCTTCTCACAGGGGCGGTGAGTTCCCGGCTGCCCCCACCCGGGGTCACCATTTAGGCAACGCAGGGGCGCGCCTTGGCTCTGGTGTTAGCCGGCTGAGGCGGAAGCTGTGCATCTGAAATACCCTCCCCGGAAGTAGCGGCACCGCGGCGGTGCGGAAGTTCCGCCCCCGGAGATGGCCGCCTCCAGTAGTTTCTGTTGCCGTGGCTTTTCTGCTCACATATCCACGTGTCTCAGCATGTACACGGCACCCCGTCATTTTCTCTTACAAAAGGTGTATTAGGACAGGCTGGCTAGAGTTTGCTTTCTTTCATCTGGTAGTTTGTGGTGGCCATCTTTTCCTGCTAGTGTTCCATCGATCTATGTTTTCTTTTTACATTTGTATTTCTACAAAATACAACGTTCTTTTTGAAAAATTCCTACTATAGACTAGAACCAAGAGAAAGTCCATTTTTTCCCTTTTCATTTATCTTTCTCCTCAGTTTCAGGTATCTCTTTGTAAACTGTTTTCTTTCTTAAAAAGGCAGAGTTCCAGAGAGAGGGAGAGACAGAGAGAGGGAGAGAAAGATTTGAGATCATCCATCTGCTCACTCACTGGCCAGGATAGCCAGGGTTGGGCCATGCCAAAGCTGGGAGCCTGGATCTCCTTCCAGGTCCCTCACATGGGTACAGGGGCCTGACTTTGGCCATCCTATGCTGCTTTCCCAAGCACATTAACAGGGAGCTGGGTAGGAAGTGGAGCAAACGAGACTTGAATCACTGCCCATAAGAGATGCAAGCATTATAGGCATTGGCTTAACCCATGTGCCAAAATGCCAGTCCCTTGACCTTTTTTTTTTTAAGATTTATTTTATTTATTTAAAGACAGAGTGACACAGAGAGGGGGAGATAGAAAGAGATCTTCCACTTGCTGGTTCACTCCCTGAATGGATTCAATATCCAGGGCTAGGCCAGGGAGCCAGGAACTCCATCCAGGTCTCCCACATGGTGACAATGGGTCCAGCGCTCGGGCCATCTTCCGCTGGGAGACAGCAGTGACCTACTCAAGAACTTGGGTTTACTGCCACCCAAGTGGAAGACCCAGATTGAGTACCAGGCTGTTGCTTTTGGCCCGCCTGGGCTCTGGCTGTTGCAGGCATTTGGAGAATGGACCAGCAGGTGAGACCCCTCTGTCTGTCTCTTTGTGCCTCTCAAAGAAATAGAATAAATTAATGCATTTTTAAAAACTTCAAAGTAGAGAAAAATAAAGAGTAGTACAATAAACATTCATGTACCGCTATATAGATTTTAAAATTCCATGTTGGGGCAAGCTTTGTGGCCTAACAGGTTAAGCATCTGACTGTGGCACCGGCATCCTATATGGGTGTCAATTTGAGTCCCGGCTGCTTCACTTCCAATCCAGTTGCCTGCTGATGGCCTGGGAAAGCAGTAGAAGATGGCCCAAGTGCTTTGGCCCTTGAACCCATGTTGGAGATCTGGAAGAAGCTTCTGGCTCTTGGCTTGGATTGGCTAAGCTCCAGCCATTGTGGCCATCTGGGGAGAGAGAATCAGCGGATGGAAGACCTCTCTCTCTTCTTTCCCTCTCTGTGTCTGTAACTCTGCCTCTCAAGTAAATAAATAAATCTTTAAAAAAGTATTTATAAACTGCACAAATCAATTTACTGAAAAAATGAACTTCCATGTTAGCTTTTTCTTACTATTTTTGAAAGCATTTTAAAGTAAATTACAGATACCAGGTTGTTTCACATTTCAACATACATCTCTAAAAATTAAGACACTTTGTTGCAACCACAGTATTGTTCTCACTCCTAATAAAATAAAAGATATCATCTAAAATATAGACCACATTCCGATGTTCTCAGTTCTCCTCTAGATGTCTTTCATAGCTTATTTATTCAGACAAGGATCCTATCACGGGCCAGATTTTTGTATTCTGTTGGATTTTTTTCCTCTCAGTATCCACTAATCTAGAATTTAGAATAATCCCCCAGCCCTCTTCTCCTCGACCTTGGCTTACATCAGAAACTGGGCCAGTTACCCTTGAGAGTCTCTTTCCTGACCTTTGGGAATCGTCTGATGATACAGTTCCTCATGGTCTCTCTCATTGCTTTCCTGTAAACAGAAATATAGATGTAAAGGTTCAATGTGTGTCCTAGTAAACATGATTGGTGGACACTTCATAGGGGACAGAGCCACATGGTGGCTGGCTGTCCTCCCAGTGACACTCTGCTGGGTCCCTGGGTCCCTCCACTGGGAAGTGACATTGCTTGGCATTCCTCTCCAGCTCTGTGAGCCTAGGGACAACACATCTACTTGTCCCCGTTGGCTGTGGTGCCCCTTTCCTGGTGAATGAAGTGTCTAGCCCCACTGGCCCAAGCTTCTTGCAGATCGAGGTCAACCCAGCTGCCCGTAGTCACTCATTTTTGCCTCAAGAGCTGCACCTGACGGAGAGCTTGCTGTCCCCTTCAGGGTTATTTTCGGGACACCGTGCTGTACTACGGCTACTACACCAACTCCACGATCCAGCACGAGCACAGTGGGGTCGCCTACAACATGCAGCTGGCGTACATCTTCACCATCGGAGCCTGTTTGATCACCTGCTTCTTCAGTTTGCTCTTCAGGTACGGAGTTGTCCGCGCGTCCTGATTCCGAGGCTTGTTTTAGATTTCGGCAACCCCCGAGTGATGCAGGAAACCGTTTCTCTGCTTTGACTTGGTGTTGCTGTCTGATCCGTCCTCGTCCTGCCACGCAAAACAGGAGTTTGGACAGAGGAAGGGAGGTTTTCATGTGCTTTTAAAGAAATTGGCCCATCTGAAAATAGAGATGCAATAAAAGGTGTGGATGACAAATTGTCAGAGTTGGGACTGAAGGAAAATACACACAGAAAACCAGTGTGCACCTGCTGTGTTCACTCGCTGAGGCTAGTGTGGCAAACACACAGTCTGGGTGCCTTAGACAGGGCCAGGCTGTCTCTTTCATGGGTGGCAGGGACCCAAGTACTTAAGTTATCAGCTGCTGCCTCCCAGGGAGTGCATTCGCAGGAAGCTGGAGTCAGGAGTGGAGCCCAGACTGGAACCCAGGCACTGTGATGTGGGATGCGGTTACCCTAAGAAGTTGACTTGACCGCTGTAGCAAGTGCCTGCACCGCTTACCTCTCTGAATACAAGCCCATTCCGAGGTCCTGGGAGTTAGAACTTTCACACATGGATTTTAGGAGGATGCAGTGCAGGCAGGAGAACCTCACTTCCTGCACAATAATTCGAACCCAAAGGAGATTTCCTTTCATCCTGTCAAGTTAGGAAGCTTTTCTTAAGTTACTAAGTGGCAGCAAACTTTGGAACGGCGTTGTCCTTGTGCCTAGCATTTATCGCCTGCCAGGCTGGCTGTTACGTGATACCTGGGCCAGAGACAGCGCCAGGATAATGAAAGCTGTCTAATGGGTCAAGCGCTTCTTGCTCTAAACACTGCATTGACTAGTGTGGTAGATTGAATAATACCTCCTTGCCATCCCCCAAAAATGTTCACGGCCCTGTGAAATCACTTGGTCTGGTTCTGCCAAGGCATCTGCAGGCGGGACTCCAAATTCAGTCAACCTACAGCAGGCTGTTTTAAGCTGATAATTTTGTATGGCTTGCAAGTAAAGTTATAAATCTCCAAATGGGGGCCCATGTTGTGGCATAGCGGGTAAGGCTGCTACCTGTGATGCCGGTATCCCACATGGGGGCCAGTTTGAGTCCCGGCTGCTCCACTTCGATCCAGCTCTTGGGAAGGCCGAGGAAGACGGCCCAAGTGCTTGGACCCCTGCGCCCACATGGGAGACCTGGAAGAAGCTCCTGGCTCATGGCTTTGGCCTGGCCTAGCCTGGGCCACTGTGGCCATCTGGGGAGTGAATCAGCAGATATAATAGCTCATTCTCTCTCTCTCTCTCTCTATCTCTCTCTCTATCTCTATCTCTATCTCTATCTCTATCTCTATCTCTATATCTCCTTCACTCTTTATTACTCTGCCTTTCAAATCAATCAATCAATCCATCAGTCTCCAAATGGCCCTTTGCAGAAAAGGGTTCTAAAGCCCTGCAGAAAGAGGGACTTTGCAGATATGATACAGTTAAGGCTGTTAAAATGGGGGAGATTATCCAGGATTATTGCAGCTGGTCCAAAGGAATCATGAGGATCTTTATTAATAGGGAGAGAGGGAGAGACTGATTTGAAGATGAATGTTGGGGTCACACACCAATGGCTGCAGGCAGCCTCTAGAAGCTGGCTAAGACAGGGAATGGATTCTCTCCAGAGACCACAGAAGGAACTGTACCTGCTGTGCCACCATGCCGACCCCCAGATACAACTCAGATACAGAGTTATTGTAAAACTCTGTGAGGTGGGAATTACCACCATCCCCAGTACACAAATGTGGGAACAGGGGCTCAGAACAGTTTGAAAGGACAAAGACCAGCAAAACCAGGGTTGGAAGGCTGGCCGGTGTGGTCCTGAGCATTCCGGGTGGAATCGTGGTATTCCGGGCGGAGAGCTCGGGGCTGCCTCTCGCGTGTTGCTTTTCCCTGTCCCTGACGGGGCTGTCCTCTGTGTAGCCCCACGCTCCCCCGTGCCTGTCGCAGTAACCTCTGGTCTCTGGGCTCCCACCGTTTCTAGCATGGCCAAGTATTTCCGGAACAACTTCATCAACCCCCACATTTACTCCAGAGGCATTGCTAAGCTCATCTTCTGCTGGGACTTCACCGTCACCCATGAGAAGGCCGTGAAGCTGAAGCAGAAGAATCTCAGCACGGAGATCCGGGTAAGGGGAACCCAGCTTCCCACCCCCTGCCTGGGGCCAGCCTCCCTCCCTCCTCTAGGAGTCCAGAACTTTCCTAAAAGTAATAGCACGTTATTATTTTTTTATTGCCCATGAGATCGGCAAAAATTAAAAATTCCTAATGCCCAGTGCTGATGACAGTGTGGGGGAAGTGGGCATCGTCACAGGACAGGGGAGCTTTATAATGCGGACCTATCTTGGTGTGTTTGTGGGGCTACAGCAAAATATCTGAGGCCGGGTACCCTAGCAAGAAAGGGGTTTCTTTGGCTCGCTGAAAAGCTCAGCGCTGGTGTCTGGGCAGTCCCCCCGCCGCCCCGCCCCAGCTTTGTCACAAGGCAGAGAAGTGGCAAAGGGAACGGCCGGCCGTGTGCAGGAGAGGCCACGCACGTGGTGGGCATCACTTCGTCACAGCCCCGTGTATGAGAAGTAATGTTCTCTGTGAGAGTTATGCCAAGCCCACCAGGGGGCGGGGCCCCCTTGCCACGAGGTCCCATCTCTTACCAATTCCATCATCTCAGTCGCACTGCTCTGGGGACCACGGTACCAGCACATGAACCCAGCCCACAGCCCACACACAGCGGCGCAGCTTTCTGATGGCCAAGGTAGCAATATCTGTGAACATGTTACCCAGGGGTACTTCTTGATCCCATAGTTCTGAGTTTAAAATTCATTTCTGGGGCAGTGGTTTTCAATCCAGACAGTGTCATCCTTCAGAGAGACGATTGGCAAAGTCTGGAGACTTTTTCAGTCGTGGCAGCAGGTGGAAGGATGCTGTTGGGATCCAGTGGATGGAGGCCAGGGACCCTGCTCACCATCCCACAGTGCAGAACTGCGGAGCCCAAGATGTCAGTGGTGCAGAGGCTGAGAAACCATAGTGTGTAGAAACACTGAGTAAAAAGAAAGGGCGAGTGGAATTGGTAAATAAAGGAGCTTTTGTGATGGTCACGTCTTCCCTCCCTGGACACCTCGGCTTCTTCTTGAAGAGAGAACTCGATGACCTCCAAGTGCTTTCCATAAGAATGTGGTCCCACTGGTGCTGTGGCTCACTAGGCTAATCCTCCGCCTTGCTGCGCCGGCACACCGGGTTCTAGTCCCAGTCAGGGCACCGGATTCTGTCCCGGTTGCCCCTCTTCCAGGCCAGCTCTCTGCTGTGGCCCGGGAGTGCAGTGGAGGATGGCCCAAGTGCTTGGGCCCTGCACCCCATGGGAGACCAGGAGAAGCACCTGGCTCCTGCCATCAGATCAGCCCGGTGTGCCGGCCTCAGCGTGCTGGCCGCAGCAGCCATTGGAGGGTGAACCAACGGCAAAGGAAGACCTTTCTCTCTGTCTCTCTCTCTCACTGTCCACTCTGCCTGTCAAAAAAAAAATTAAAAAAAAAAAATGTGGTCCCAATCCATTGGTCTCATGTGTCCCTTAAAGATGGATCCTGGTATGGGTGACGGGGGTTCTTGGCCATTTGGGGATTCTCCCAAGAGTCTCCCATCATCTACGTCTACCAGGAAGTTGCCCCCATCTGTGGGCCTGGGCTGGGTTTGTGTCTTCAAGTGTGGCAGGAGGTTGAGCCTGGAGGCTTGGCTAACAGTGGTCGGGGATCTGCAGGTGAACTTGACTCTGTGCTTATAGGAGAACCTGTCTGAGATCCGTCAGGAGAACGCCAGGTTAACGTTTCATCAGCAGCTGACCCGCTTCTCTGCTCACGTAGTAGCCTGGGTGGTCTCCACTGGAGTGGCCGTGGCCTGCTGTGTGGCTGTTTACTACCTGGCTGAGTACAACTCGGAGGTAAGCAGAGAGGCAGGGACGCCAGGAAAAGCGAGGTGAGGCTGGAGGGAGAGACTGGTGGAGAGCCCAATACTCAGACTGGGACTGTGGCTGGAACTCTTGGCATAGGGAGAAGCTTGTTATAAATGGCAGACTCTCCCCTCCTTCCCCTGGGCTCAGAATCTACATCGCAAACAAGGTCCCTGGGCAATGTGAGTGCACGCTCCTGAGGGAGACGCACTGGGTTAGGAGAGAGACGAGAACTTTGGCCATGGACCTCAGATCAAGTTCTCTTTGCTTCCTCTCCATCCCTCAGGGTTCCCACAGCACCTGGCACAGATTAGCTGCCCACCAGTGTTAGGAACGCATGGGCTCTGGCAGGGGATATAATCTCTTCCAGCTGTGGATTTCCCATCTGTAAACTGGGAGTGGTCCTACTTGGCTTTACAGGGGTGTGGGCGGGGCTAGAGAAAATATAAAGGGTTTGTGCTGGGCCTGGGACCCCGAGTGATAAGGGAAAGTCACAGTGGGGGCTCTGAGGCTTGGTTAGCCGGGTGGCCTGGACGAAGGGCTATGTTTCTGTAGATTTCCGCTCTCCCTCTGAGAATAGGGCCATTGTGTCTGGTTTGCCAAGCTCTAGAGTTGTGGGTGGATAGGGCTCATGACATCACTCTCTTAACTGGCTTCCATTACCTCCAATATTTATTCTATCCTCCCTGGCACCATGGGCAGATCTTTTTATGATCTGACCCCTGGCCCGTCTCCCACACCAGCAGTAATAACTGGTATGCCCATGGGTCTCTGAACACTGTCTTTTCCCTCATCTCTAGGTGGGAAACATGCAGTCCATTCTCCATCCTTTACTTCCCTTCATCCGGCAACCTTTCCTCCTTCCTCCAGACCTTAGCAAGGTGTCACCTCCTCCAGGGAGTCCCCTCTCACTGTCACCACCAACCTCACTGGGCCGAGTGGGGTGCTCCTGACTTTGCAGGCTTCCCTGTGCACTTGTCACACGCAGCACTGAAGTGCCTTGTTATATGCCTGGTTCTTTTGGGCAAATCATGCACAGGGGGATGGCGGCAGGGTTGGGCCTTGGAGGAGTGGTTGTGGGAGACAGATCAGTCCGCTGGAATCCGTTACCCCAGACCCAGGGGAAGGACGCCTGTCAGAGCAGAAGCCCAGCCAGCTCCACTCCCAGACAGACGCCAGGGTGCTGGGTCCCCCTGGAGGAAGCGCACCTCCCCTGACCTCACACGGGGGAGCCCCTGGGGCTGCAGCAGCGCCTCCTGCCTCTCACTAAGATGCACTGAGGTTCAGATCCGCCGCTTCCTTGCTGGGCAACTGTGACCAGTGTCTGTGCCTCTCTGAGCCTCAGATGGTTCAGCACAGTGCTAAATAGATGGCAGCTTAGTGGTTAAGCCCGGAGGAGCTAGTTCTGGGATTTTCCCCACCATGGGGGTCTTCTGTGGGAGGCAGAGAAGGGTGTGGCGCCCACTCGACATCCGGGGTCTCTGCTGTGTCCCCTGCAGTTCCTGAAGAAGCACAGGGACCCCTGGGCGGTGCTGCTGCTGCCCTTCGTGGTGTCTTGCATCAACCTGGTTGTGCCGCGCTTCTACTCCATGTTCAGGCTAGTGGAGAGGTACGAGATGCCGCGGCATGAGGTCTACACGCTCCTGATCCGGTAGGTGTGTCTGCCGCAGCCCACGCCAGCCTCCGCCATGTCCACAGAGCTGGCCGCGGAAGGGATTGCATGCATTGGCAGGGGGCGGGTCAGAGCCGAGACATCTGAAGAGTGCTGAGAAGATGCCGCCGTTGAGGGCAAATGCCTTTCGCTCAAAGCCACGGCTTGCCTCTCCCCATGGCTGCCGGCCTGCTGAGGGTGACCAGAGTTGTCAGGTACTGGATGTACAGTTGGGCAGGCGGTGCACTGCACAAGGGTTCTGGTTGAGGACTGTGTGGGGACTGAAATCCTCCAGTGTCTGCATTGGTCAGTCTGTGAGTCCTGGTTCCCCAGGCATCAGCCAGGAGGAAGAGAGGAACTTTCGTCATTAACCCCCTTCCCTGGACAGCGATGGCCCGAGTGCCTTCAGCAATTCACTAGCTCAGAGAAGGTGCTGTTTGGTGATTCTCATAAAGGCATCTTTAAAAAAAAAAAAAAAAGATTTATTTATTTGTTTGAAAGGCAGAGCCGTGGAGACACCAAGAGATAGATCTTCCATCCACTGGTTCACTTCTCTAATGGCTGCAATGACCAGGGCTGGGCCAGGCTGAAGCCAGGAGCCTGGAACCCCATCCAGGTCTCCCACATGGGTGGCAGGGGCCCAAGCACTTGGGCCATCCTCCACTGCCCTTCCAGGCACACTAGCAGGGGGCTGGATCGGAAGTGGAAGCAGCTAGGATTCTAACCAGCGCTCTGATATGGGATGCTGGCATCAGAGGCAGTGGCTTGACCCCAATATTGACCTGAAGGCTTCATGTGTTCTAGAAGTGACCCCAGAGATTTGATAAACCAAGCCTGAAACTGCCCGAGGCTGCCCCTCTAGCATCCTCCCCACTCGTCTGACTGCTTCCTGGTTGTGGTGCTGTTTCTAGCAGTGAGTCCAGCCCTGCAGCCTGAGTTTCTTTACTGATCATTCCAGAGCTCCTGCCTTTACCCCGGGCTCTGAGACCTGGCTCCCATGCTCCAGCCTCCCTCCTTCTTGCTGCTACTGTTCACCTTCATCGGCCTCCTAAGCGCTCATAAATATGCCCCCAACTGTCTACCTCCCCCCACCTGCCCCGGGCCTTTGCCCTGGCTGTTCTCCCCACCCGGCTTGCCTCTTGATTTTCTTTGGGCTTCTGCTCCAGTGTAGCCCTCGCAGAGAGCTGCTCCCAGTAAAGATAACCACTCCTCTGCTGCATGGGACACGTGCCTCCCACGTCCCAGTGCCTGGGTTCGAGTCCTGGCTCTGCCTCCAGTTCCAGCTGCCTGCTAATACATACCCCGGTGAGGCAGCAGATGGTGGCTCTGCCGCCCGCACGGGAGAACTCGAGTGAGTTCTGGGCCCCTGGCTTCAGTCTTGCCCAGCCCACAGGTGCTGCAGGTGTTTGTGGGGGCACCGCTGGGTGGACGATTGATCTCGCTGTGTCTCTGCCTTTCAAATAAAATGAAAACAAACACAACAGTTCCCCTTTCTTCCCTGCATTGTCAGCGTCACACCACGTCCTGACATATTTTTATTTGTTTAGCTTCCTCCGCCACAGTTCACGGGTGAGGCTTTGCCTTGCTCACAGTGGACACAGTGGGCACTCAAGAATAATTGCTGAATGAATGAATGAATGAATGGGCCAGTCGGGCAGTCAGTCATTACATCCAATTGATATGAACACTCCAAGTGTGATGACCGCCGTACCTCCATTATTCCCCCATAGCCCACCCACGAGTCCAGGGTGCCGTGAGGGAAAGAGTTAGGTCTCACGGTCACCCATGGCCTTGCATGTGGGGTAAGATGGACACAACATACCAGCTACCTGATGAGAGAGGGATCAAGACTAAGAGGCGCTTATCATGGTGTCTTGGCTATCATGGTGTCTTGGCTCAGCACCCAGTGAGTATTGTACTCATTTACTGTGATGATAGCAAGTGACTCAGCTAGTGTGGGGACGCAACCAGAGAGTGTCCACCAGAATGAGTTCAGTTCTTCTGCCATCACGATGCCCCCCTTGTCTCAGGCGCTTGGGGCACAGAGGTGTCTGTCTCCCCCGTGCCACGGGTGCAGTAGGCGTTAGCAGGAGGGTTCTGCTCTCATCAGTCACGAAGAGATCCAGGCTGAGAGAGCAGCCACCTCCCAGATATTTCTGACTGCGTTTCCCAAGGGAAGGCAGGGCTGGAGGAGGGGGTGACACAGAGCCGAAGCTTCTGGGCTCTGGCCGTTCTCCAGAACCAACGGCACGGCCCCGCCCAAGCACAGGGGCAGGAGTCCCTGCGTCCCCAGGCGCCCCAAAGGAAATATTGGCAGACAGCTGTAGAGCCGGCGTGGGAGTAATGGCTGTCATTTTCTCTTCTGCTGTTTAGAAACATCTTCCTGAAGATGTCAATCATTGGCATTCTTTGTTACTATTGGCTCAACATCGTGGCCCTGTCTGGCGAGGAGGTGAGATTTCTGTGCTATTCTGGTCTCTCAGTATTTGATCACAAGGGAGGGAGTAAAGGTCACAAAAATCCGTCAACACTCAACCCCTATTTGGCATTAACTCCTTGTGGGAAGAGACCAGAAGCTCATCTGAGAGGCGTTTCCATAAGCAAAAGCTCAGGAAGACCTAGCTGGAAGATGAGCTCTGCAGTCCCCTACACTCTCAAAGCCTCAGTTTTCTCATCTGCGCAGTGGGGATTAAACAAGAGCACGTGTAGGATGAACATAGTGCCCGGCAGTGGCGATAGTTTTGATGCTAATCTATCCTCAGAGCCTTGGACTTGGAAGCAAGGTCCGTTTGGATCCTTGATGCTCCGTGTTTTCTGTAACCCGGATATCCAGGACTTTGCCCAATGACAAGTGTGTCCTAACTCTGGTCGTCCCTGGCCCTCCCTCACTTGACTATGGCTTCTCAGTCTTCCCCTGTCCCAGAGAATGGGGGCCGGACCCCCCACCCCACCCCCACCCTCGCTGAGAAGAGTGTCCCATGTGGATTCAGGAGCAGGCCGGCCTTGCTGACCTTGTTGGGGTGGCCTCTGCTTCTACTGCGAGGTCCGGCATGAGAAGCAGCTTCACACGGACCATTCACCCTAGGCTGATAGCTGTCCTGAGCCCTCAGGCACCTGGAGTGCAGGGGCCTCTCTCTAACTCTTTTGTTTTTGGGTCTCAAAAGAACACTGCTTTAGCCAGACTTAAAAACATCTTCCAAGAACATTGCACCTTTGCCATTCTCCCCTAATTATCAAAGAAATTTAAAACTGGCCCTCCAATTAGGCTAGTTAGAATAGATACCATGGATCCTTCCATCCGTATGTCCATTTATCCATTCATCCATCTCCCCACATGCCCTCACTATCCATCC